TGCCCAGGACATTGTCTGCTGCAGTGAGGGGCATGGTGGGGGGGGCGGGGGGCACGCTGCAGCCAGCTCGGGGAATGGGGAAAGGGTCTGGAGCCATGCTTGGGCTTCAGCCCCATTGGGATCGGCACAAACAGGGGGACAGGGTGGAGGGAACACTGGGGCGGAGGGTGAAGTCGCAGGGTTCCATTTCCAGTGATGTCAGCATTGCCGGGCCCTGCATCAACAGAGCAGCCTCTCCCAGAGCGCAGGCAGGAGGGTTCGCCTCTCCCGGCTTGCGGGCAGCGCGGTTTGCCCCTCCTGGAGTGCCAGCAGCGGACGGAGGCACCATGCACAAGAAGCGGGCACCAGCACCCTCCCTGCAGAGGAGCAGGCAGGCAAGGGTGCGCAGGCAGGGCTGGGGCACGGGGTTCGGGCAGCAGCCGAGAGGTTTGGGTCTCTGCCTGCACGGGGCGGCAGCCCCCCGGTCAGTGACCCTGGGGTAGGTACACGGCGGCACGCTCCAGGGCCCAGTGCTTGTTGAAGAGGCAGTACCACTGTGCCCCAGTGTCCCCAGTGCATCCCCGGGGCCTCCCCAGTGGGTCCTAGGGCCTGCAGAGTATGACCCAGTGTGACATGCGAGCCAGCCCAGCATGTCCCTGCATGTCCCCAGAAGCTGCCCAGTGTATCCCAGTGGGTCCCCAGGGTACCCCCAATGGGTCCCAGTGGGTCTCTGGGACCTGCCCAGTGGGTCCCAGAGCCTGCACAGTATACCCCAGTGGGATATGAGGGCCAGCCCAGTGGGTCCCCAGGGCCTGTCCAGTAGGTCCCTGCCTGTCGCCAGAAGCTGCCCAGTGTATCCCAGTGGGACCCCGGAGACCTGCCCTGCGCGCCCCAGTACATCACTCCACCAACGGCAACCGTGCAGGCGTGGGGCCCCGCCGCACAGCGCCCGCCCCCTCGTTCTTCTATTGGCTGATTTTGCTGCCCGTCTGGCAGCTTTCCCTTCTGAGTGGCTGGTTTGAATGCTCCGGGAGCGCCTTCTGACTGGCGAGAGGGAGGGGAGGAGCGCCACCCGTGTCCCCGCCCTCCCGCTGCGATTGGCGGCGCTCTGGGGGCCCGCCGGCGGCGATTGGCGGAGGGTTTCGGCGGGCTGAGGGGAGTTTTGAAAGGCGCCGGGCCGTTGGGGCCGCCATCGCCTCCGCTCAGCAGCGTCCGCCGCCGCCATGGAGCTCCAGCACTCCCCGTCGCCCCTCCGAGTGCGTGCGGCGCCCCGCTACCCTCTCCCGCCCCACACACCGCGGTCCCCTGTCCCCGCAGGCCTTCGGGTTCCCCCGCCGCCCCGTCCCCTCGGCGTCCCCGGCTTCCCTCAGGGTCTCCCCGGGCTCCTCCCGCGGCCTCTTCCCTCAGCCCCCCC